TAAGGAATATAAATGAAGGTCCTTAAATCGCCTCGACTCAGGGAATATCATCCATACCATTACACTACAACTGGTGAATAAGAACTAAATGAAATCCACCATGTTCGCCTTGACACAGCGAAACCCATCTATAACATATACTACGGTGTAAAAATGCGCGGTGCATCTAAAATTTTGGTTTCATTTAAAAATTACTATTGCAGCTGTAATCGTATTTCGTACATTTATATTTTTTCGATCACAAATTTTATAAACAAATTTGCCCAAAATATGTTAGCCTCAATATTTGTAATGTGATGCATATACTTGCTCTATCCAGAGCCCTTGCGCTTGCAGTAGCGCGCGCCCGCCTCACGGCAGTGCGCGCAGAGGCGCGAAAGCACATGGTTAGGTGAATGCATTTACCTTTTGGGTTGTCATGCCGCGCATCGAATAATGGCAATATACATTAAACATTTTTTGCTTTGACATTTTAAATGAGCTAAACAATTTTATATTCTATCAATAATATAATAGTTTACAAGCAATTATTTTTATCGTACGTTTTATGACCCGCCGCGCACGAGTGCGCGGCTCCCTCTGTATCGTAAAAACTTTACTTTCACTATATAGTGAAACGACATTGGGGGTACGGTCACGACGTGATACAAATTATTTTTGCCATTTAATATTCAATATTAACTAGCTTGCTAGTCTATTGCTTGCTTCATTCACGTAAAAAGAAGCTTCCTGTTCAGGAAGCTTGAAAAAAGCATCGCGCAAGGCACGGCACTGGCGTGCAAAATAAGATTCAATAAAACAATCAAAATTAAGTTATCAATTTTATGCCAATTTTGCATATTAATATTCAAAAGAAAAGCAATTCAAAATGCAAAATAATTTGTTGCTTTTGCGTGCACTACAACGCGAACGGCGAGCTGTTTAAGAAGAAAATTGAATGCTTGGGTTTTAGGAGTCGGGATCAAGGAAGGCTTGATGCATCGCGCTACAAAAGGAAGGCCGAATGACAGTATCAATTGAAAGCAATTATATTATGTTATATTGTTATTACGTACTGTATATAATACTGGTTGCTTCTACGCTGTACACTAGATATAGGAAATATTTGCTGTTTATATTTAGTTCAATTAATTGAAATATGTTTTCTGGATGTTAACTATAGGTAGAAAATGGCATGACGAATAATCTAAGTTATCATGAACAATGTTAATATTTATTCGAAATTCGAATAATGATCAAAATACATGATTACATTCTGTACGGATTATTGATTAAGTGTCGATACGTTTGAAAGCCTGTACTATTGAACATTTTCCTCCCTATAAGCGAACGTTTCGTTTCTTTTTTATTTGCATAGAAGTTAGTTATTGATTAGGGCTTCCCTTTTAAATCTAAATCATTTGTTAGTTAATTTATCATTTTGTTTTCGCAATTTACGTACTTGTTTTGAAAAAGATGCCAAAAAATTGTCTTTATGATAACGCTTCCGACATCTTGAACAATCGATGTCACTGTTATAATTTACGGCTTCGCATACATGCCCCTCCACTGGCATGTTCGGGTGACATCTCACAACCGTTATTCTATAGTCTAAACGTTAATGAAACATTTAAATCCGGTGTGTAGGATCTTGGTTTGACTCTACTTGAAAGTGGATCATGATATTTCAGTTTTTGCTGTGCAACTTATCAATTCTTATAAATGCGTAATATAAGATGATTCACTGGTAATAGGACCTTCAGTTCACAGTCTGCATAAATGGTACTTAATCTTTAAATATTTATTTTTCTTTTAACACTATGCTGAAGTAGTGTTAGTTAAATGTTGATTTAGTTCACAATCATTTTTTGCCCAGTGTAGACAGATCAACAATTTCAGAGGATTTAGTTCCACCATGTCAAGGTTTATTTTCACATAGTTCATTATAAGCGCAACTCATTGCAGCAAAAATTAACTTTGTAGCACCTTCCTGAGGCTCAGAATTTTAACTTGAAAATGCAATTTTGAACATGGAAAAGTTAGTTTTTGATCATAACTTTGTGCACAAATTTGTGCTAGTTGTAATTTATTGTGCTGTTCTGAATTTTTCCTGCTAACCATTTTCAAATCTTATAATATAAAATTTAGCATCAGCACAAGAAGATCAACAAAGATCTAATTCTTATGAAATTGAACAGCTTGCAGTGGGTGTTCTAACTTCTAATCATTGTTACCGCTATTTTACTTTGTCCGCCTCATTCAATTTTTTGTTTGTCTGAGTATAAAGACATGAGAAAGGCTAACTTAATCTCAGCAAGGCCATTTAACCCTACAGTCTAAATGAGGATCATTGTTAATATGACGATTTGTTTGACCACATGAAACTGCTTATATTAATACAAATTGTGGCAATTTTTACTCTCCTAGACTGACAACTTTTCATTCTGTTACAAATCAATAATTTACAGTTTGCAACATGAATTTGGATTTCGATTCTAATATTGTATTGAACAAAATAAAATCAGCCCTTAAACGGAAACATTAGTTTTGAAATGGGGAAATTTGTTACAGATGCATCCTTTGGGCTTGAATTTTGGCATCAGTTTAATTAAGTCTTGCTACAAGGACCATGATTTGTGTTATTGACAGATCTGTTTTTAAAATTATGATGTTGAGGTGCTTCATCTGTGCTGCTCCTACTCTTGCAAGGTTATAATAATTTTTGGGACTTGGTTGAAGGAGGGGATTACAATCTAGGCATTGAGTTTTACATTTACTAAATCTTGATGTGTAATAAATAAGTTAGGAGGATTAAGGTAAATCTGATTAAGGGACTTAAATAATCTGTGATTGATCAAATTAAATTTGACAAAATAGATTTCTTATTTATCTTGGATCTTGTCCGAAGAAATCTAGGTTAGGTAATGAACAAGTTCTTACAAAATTAAAAAAGGAATTGCACAGAAGCGGCACAATCACTGTGAAAAGTGGTTCAGGAACCTTTTTGATGATAATAAAAACAAAAAATCTAAGAAGACACATTTAGCATTTTGAAGAAATCAATCGTTTTTATAATTTATTGGGTTTGTAGCATTTAAGTCGTTTATTTAGGTGAGCATGCGCACATTTGTTTATCAGCAAACTAAATCACAGTGCTTAGCAGGAAATAAACTTGGTCAGATTCGTTGTAAAAAAGATTATACAGATATCCTGTATGGGTTATAGATAATTTGTCTAGTCAAGTTTATTGTCTATTCAGAAGTTTTAAAACTTTGATGATAGGGGCTATTCTTCTATGACATCAGAGTGGAAGATAGGCTAGTGTCACTCATATCACCATTAAGATGGGTTTCGTGGGAATCACGCTTGTCTTGTATTCTCTGAAAAATTTAACAGTTAAAGGAAGTTTTGTTAGTAATTGCAGTGGTTTTCAGGTCGAATATGTGGGAACTGAAGATTTTGTTTCTCTCTTTTTGTCCTCATCTTTTCTTAGCCTGTGAAACTTTAAAAATCGGACCAGTTCCACTGCAAACACCGAAACTTAGCTGAATGTATAATACTTATTTACATTTTACAGTCGCCCGAGTCCCGACCTAAAAGTCCGGAATTAAGTTGGTCCGGTTTAAATTGAGTCCGAGATTAGAAGGTACTGAGTGTGGTGTTTTGCTGTGTTGTAGTTTTATTTTAATATCGATTCCGTTAGTTGCTATTCTGTATGGTATCTGGTGTTGTCCAAACTCGGTCCCAGCTAAGATTTCCTAAACTCCTAGCCTCAAGTTCAGTGAGAATATAATATTTCTGCTGATGATGTCATACGTTTAGCTTGCCATTCAGACTATCAGACATTCACTGTCTAGTTACGATTGGTGTTAATTCTGTCTCGGAATAGTGACTATTTTAGCGCCAGGAATTCCTTACGATTCAAAACTAGCTGAACCATGGTCTATAGCTCGACATTTTTTCCGTGGGTCTAACACACCCATTATATTTTAAAATTATTAACAGAAGTCGTAAAGAAACCATCAGTTTTCGTCTTGCTTCAGTTTAATCATAGATTGACCAGATAAGTTAACCGGACACAAGCTGTCAAATTGTGCTTATTTTAAATATATTGACCGTTTTGTGACATTTATCAATTTAACACTCGAGCAGTCTGTGTCTAACCAAATAAGCCCTGCATGGTAATTGCTGTGAGTTGACCTCATTAATCGATTACATCATTTGAAAATCGCGTTAGAGGTCCAGACATTTGTTGTCAGTCTAATTAGCATCTAGCAGGTCAAGACCCAATCAGCATAACGTCTGACTAATTATCAGTGATACGATGGGGATCTTGTGTTCCTCTTAAGATGCTTCTTTTTAAACACCGCAGTATTTTGTTTGACCTGTTTGCCTGCGGTCTCGAAATGTTCCTGATATCAATCTATACCACAGCTCGTTCCATCGTTACAGTAGTTTGTGCAATCTCTAATAGTTTAGATAACGTCTTGTGACTTGTCGGATATTTAGAACATTAGTGTTGCCTCTGTTTGCAATTGGATAAAAATTAAAATGTAATCTCGGTGTTGCTAGTTTGTTGCTTTTCTCAGTATTGATAATTTATTGCCTTAGTCGCGATATAGTTCTGTAAAGCCCGACCTACTTGCTGTAACCGCTGATTACAATTGTTATTGCTAAAATTATTAATTATTACCACATATTTGCATTGGAACCTTGTCATAATCCTTTTAACTCTGATGAAAAACCTGGGTAATGATTTCCAGCCGCCTGGGACCAGGAACCATATAATCGATACCGGGATTTTCACTGTCTGGAATTATGATAAACACGAGTCACTTGGTTTGGCTACCGAGTACCAGACCAAATCAGTAATATTTTATCCTCAAAATCTTTGTTATGTCTGTATTCGGTGTGACCGACAATAACCTGCACAATGCACTCTAACACGTACCACTAACCATGTAACCTTCTCTAACCCCTCACTAACCCCTCTCTAACCCCTCTAACCCCTCTCTAGCCAATACAATGACCTCTCTTGCAGCTCTCAGCTCTTACCACCACCCGAATGTTCCCACCCAACCCACCTCCTCAATGTGCGCTAACAGTGAGAAATCCTTTATTGATAACTTTGCGGAGAACTCAGGACAACTTGTAAAAACTGAGAGTCCAAACATTGTGTGTACTGTTCTACCGTCACATTGGAGGTGCAATAAAACCCTTCCTATCGCTTTCAAAGTCTTCTCATTCGGTACGTTTCAAATACAGTTGTCAAGCGTTGCTTTTGTTGAACTAAATCAGAATGTTGTAATGTTTCTAATTAAATCGTAGTTATCACGCGATCAGTTTTCCCCTCGTTGTAGTGCAACTCCCTCCTTCCCTCTCTGACCCCTCTCTGACCCCTCCCTTTTCAGGAGATGTACCAGACGGAGCTAAAGTGTCCCTCCTTGCGGGGAATGATGAGAACTACTGTGCTGAATTGCGCAACTCTACTGCAGTGATGAAGGACCGTGTTGCTCGGTTCAATGATCTCAGATTTGTGGGAAGGTCTGGTAGAGGTACGTTATCATTCTTATCTTATCTTTCTTATCTTATCACACTGATAACACACTAGACTGATATCACACTGGTTCCATCGTTGAAGATTTTCATTTAAACCCAGCTTTTCCTCGCAAATAATGTCTACTCAAAGTCTCATAGTCCAGCCAGCTGAACACCTTTTAGACCCTGGTCTATATATTTTCTAATGATAGCTCTTCTTCGCTCATTACCCGCACCTGCCTTATAATTGGGATCTTTGACGTTTTGATTAATAGAAAAAGTGCAGGCCTCCATTATCATTAATCCAGCCTAAAAAGTCGCCCAATAAGGTCGCGTTTAGACATCACGTGCTCCCCTCCCAGCCAATCAGAGCAGAGAACTGAGTCACGTGCACCGAGCCCCGAGACCTGATTAAACCACAATGTGCACTCACCAAACAAACTATTTCTCTGCCGACACCTGCATCTTTTTATATGATCATATGATCTGTACAAATTAGATTGGGAACATGCGGTATTCTATATCTCAGTCTCGGGAGACAAGTTCAGGGACACATGCCTGAACGGCAGGAATTCTTGTCTCAAACTCAACCCCCATTTAATTTCAGGTAAGATGCTGTGCTTGACCATCACCATAGGAACGCACCCTCCGCAAGTCGCGACCTACTCCCGTGCTATCAAGGTCACAGTAGACGGTCCGAGAGAGCCGAGACGTAAGTAATGGGGAGAATTGCAGGGAAATTTGGGGGTATTGTATATTGAGAGTGTCTTTTGAGCGGTGAAGTGGGGCCCGGTTATTAGTGGCTCAGTCTGGGGTAATCTAGATTTAGACGGTCAACATAACAATTCATTAATTATGACTGTGTGCGGAGTGAGAAGTAGAGAGAGCACAGGACAAACGTATTGACAGCAGTACAAGTAGAAATGGCTGTAGAACGGGGGTCGATTCTGGGGTTGGCTAGTGGTGGTTGTGGTGGTTAGCTGGTTATAACCGTGTTGTGGCGGCTCTTGTGGTGTATTCTCTCCCCCACCACAACCCCAAACATACACACACTCCGTGACACTGCTTCTCGAGTCTTATTGGTTCCTGGATGTCACGTGATCGTACCCAATTCACTGGATTAACCCACTAAATCCAGGATATTGCTCTCCGATAATTTAACCTGCAAATGTTATCAAAACACGATAACGATAACCGCAACTGCAGGGCACAGAAGACCAGAGACGAGCGCGTTCGAACAATTCGCAGCAGCAGCAGCGGCGGCAAACCAACGGGACATGCAGGAATTGGCGGCGGCGCGGGATATGCACGATATCCGGATACAGGATATTGGTACACAACCTCGAATACTGACACCTCCTGAACCTCTAGTTCCCGGGGCAGCGCAAGGAGGTTAGTTACATTCTCACTGACAACTACATATTTAACTACTGTACTAATTATTTTTTTAATTTACGGAACATGAACTGACTAACTGACAGACTTTCACTTCCTCGTTCATCTCTAACGACGTTTCAGTTTAACAATACTCCAGTTCAACATTTTTGACAGTTTTGCTTCTTTTTCTTTCAATTTTGCTTCCCCACATCGCACGTGCGTACGAATAAATTTGCACGTTTTTTTCCTGGCTAATCAATTCCAATTACCATTAATGACAGCATTCATTAAGTGAACTATTTGCGGGACCAGACCACGCTAATACAGTACATACCATAATCACTAGTGCTGAATCACGTGGTATAGATTACCCAATCAGCTTCACCGAACTGACCATCAACCAATATCTGGACTGTTTTGCCAGCACGTGAATTTATAATATGAATACGAAAATAATTTCAATGAATTAGCTGCGTCCAATGGCCGGTGTTTTAAATTTAACAGGTTGGATTTATATTCGCTATAAACACCTCATCTTGCCACACACGTGAAGATTATCTAAATTGTAGAATTTTTATAGTTCCTGCAATAATTATTATACTCGACACATTAAATCATAATTTTAGATTTTTATTAGTACAACTACAAGTACGAGAGTCAAGGCACGTGGAGATACAGAGCGTTCAGTTTATATCCTATCTCCTTCAATACTCACAATGTGACAAATGAGAATAACTCTTGTAATCTAGTCAGGGTACTCGTAGCCCGAGTAATTGCAGTTTAAGTATCAAGTATCCGGTTTACTGGTACATTGTGCATGTCATGATAATTCCCAATTTGTCCCATAACCGTAGTTTGCGGTCAGGGCTCAAAATGGTGGGGTCGGAGTCAGATGTACTCTTCTCCCGCCCTCTTCGCTCTACCGGATAGGGCTTGACACTAAGTACCCGATTTTATGGTCACGTGAGTTGGGCCAACCAATGAACGAGCAGGGATTGTTTGGGTAGCCAATGAGCGGGCAGGGATTGTTTGGGTAGCCAATGGGAACGCAAGGTTCCGAGACTGTAAGTTGGAAAGTTTTCCGGGATAGTGTCTGGTTAGTGACGAGGGTGTTTTGTTATTTTGGAACAATTACAACAAATTAGAACAATGTTTATAAATCTCCAATAATGCTCAACAATGGAATTTATAGTTCGCCTCGTTATGCCCACTGCATAAGTCTGCTGAAAAAGAGAAAATGTCTCGTTTATTATTTATTCACTGTAGCAATTATTACACTAACCATACTGTGACCAACCCTGGTGAAACTCAATAGTCGTCGTGGTTGATTGCATTTTTCATGCATTTTTCATGATAAAAGAGTGGTCTTTATCTCATCAGCAGTTGCGAGATTACAGTGAACTAAAGAGATGATAGTGAAGTGAGTTTCACTGGGGATTGCTTGTGAAAGTGTGTTGTGAAAGTGAGCCTGAATAAGGACACCTTGTAATCTAGTTGTTAGGAACTCTACTTCACATGTTACTCACAGCCCCGTAACAGGGAAATGTGGTCACTTTACACAGGAACAGATTGGTTACAGCTCGATTGGTTGACACATTGAAAAAACCACGGAATCCGGAGGCTGAGGGATATTGTTCTTCTGGCAGATTGTAAATGTATGCGGGCTGAGTGTAGCAGATATATCTTACACACGCCGGAACAGTTACATTCTTGGAAAAACCAAGAAGCAAGTAGAAAAGGTAATGATCTACAGGTTAAGTAGTTAAGATAAGATGGTAAACGAGATAACGGGTTAGATTTGTGGTTTCTTGGAAAGTAAGGATAGATCTATACGATGGTTAGTCTTGCTGTAGGTAAAGAGTTCCCACACAGCTAAAATCGTTCAATTTCTAGACAGTGGCTAGATCAGCCAAACACAAGTGAGTATTCTGATCATGTGACCATGCTAATCTGGTCACGTGATGGCAAGCTTAGAGCGTGCCTGTGGGAATTTCCAGACCCTGTTTTGCATAATATAGCAGTGTGGCAATCCAGCTGTGTGGTTATTTGATTATGTGGTCCCATTTGGTTATTATTATTGTAAATTACTTAGAATTTACGGGGTTCATGGAATGTGCTCACAAGGGATTAAAAATGTTAGATTTCGTAGATTAACTTATATTATCATTACTAAACTGAAGTGATTTCCCAGAATGAAGTATTGTGTAGTATCACCCTGCAGGTCAATAGTTACAATGCTAAATGTTGATTGTAACAGTGCTAAGTGCGTATTTCCGTCAACCGTTGCCTATTAATCAGCTACAATGAATCAATAGGTGCGGTGACAATGGGTGCTTTGAGATAGCCGCTAAGTGACCCACCATCCAAAGTACCCCTGACCACAGGTTTAGTACTTAGCCATCTCCAACTCATCACTCTCCTGCTCTGGTATCACGCCGTGCCCGGACCCTCACTTTTGCTTGCAAGACTTGCTATGCCGACTAGGTAGCCGATTGAGCCAATAAGATGCGGTCGTGCGGTCACGTGACTAAAGTTTGCCACTTAGAAAGCAGTATTTGCCGAACGATGCAAACTAAGGACCTTGTAGCAATGTTTCTAAGGCTAGGGTTGTTGCTGTGCATTAGTCACAAATACGATTATCCAGGGTTGGCTGATACTGACAAATGATGAATTATGTGAACTATAAATTAGATCTCAGAGAAGGTATAGTGACACGTAATGGCATTTTCCTACCCCAGGACAATCATTGAGAGCTCAATTTCTTTCCGCTACAACAAATGCCTGCTACACGGAAAGACAATTTAAGATGATCAAGGATGTAGCTACTATGTTGACTTAGGTTTTACAAGTTACTCGGAAATTTGGGCACTGGATAGGATGCATCACCCTAGAAAAGTAGGAACACTAAAACTGAACCTAATACTAACTTAACTGCTACTATCTACTGGGTTCAAGTCTAAATACTGAGTTAACTGCTATTATCAACAACACACAAGCTCACACCGCACAACATTCTCCAACAATCAAAGCTACCACACAATACGGCAACTCCTAACACAAGCTCAACCAGCTCCTCACCAAACTGGCCATCCTCACCCACCTCACTCACTCCACATTACCTCATTTGTCACAGCAGCCACACAACTGTGTCTGTCTCACCACAAGAAGGCGGGGCCCTCTTATGATCAGCTAGTTAAATACGAGCAGCGACCACTTCAAAGGTGCCGATCTGAGTAAACAGTAGAGTCAGCTTGTCAATCTCCTTCTGTAATTGTAATTTGTAACAGTTCTGTCGGCACAAGCCTTCTCTTAATAACTTGGCAGCTGGTTATTTGTTACTTTGTTTGTTTGGTTGTTTGTTTGTCTGTTCGTTTGTTCTGGTTTCCCTTCTGATAATGTTCCACAAACCGGTAGTCGAGGTTCTGGTGTTCACAATTCCTATGGGGCGGCGGTTTGTTGATTTAATGTTCCATTGCTCTAACACCTGCAACCCAGTTAATATCTAGACAAGACATGTAAATTATAAATTCCTCGTCTTGAAAAGGAGGAGGTCCTAGCCTTGTTCCAGTTTAGTGCGGGCTCTGTTCCGCCTCACTGTCACCGGGTCCAGACAACTACGCTAGACTGAACATGGCGCACATTAGCATATACTGCGACACACCACCTCTCTTCAGCTCTTTTAAACTTGCCATCTTACTCGTCACGTTTACTTCACAGTTACATGATAGTTGTACCTAATGATCTGTTCTGCTCCTCATTAGGTTCCACTTTGTGGAGGTCACGTGATAAGTAATACCTGGTCACGTGACACGTTGCTGTAGTACCAGGATAGTTCCAATCTACACTAATATCCAGTGATAATATTCAGTGTGAAGTGAGGAGGAGGAAGATTTGAAAAATTCCCACCGTCCAGTTGGCAGCAGGAAGTAGTGTGTAGTACGCTCTCACATTTCTTGATTTAGCAGGTGACTGGTAGTAAAACCGGCAAAACAACTACCACCTCCGTCAATAATACTGAGCGGGAGGTGTGATTCTGGCATACAGTCCATCTGTTGAGCTGTTGACTGAATACTGGTGAATATTGTTATATGTTAACTGGAGACTTTTGAAAGGAATCATGCACCAAATTTGAAATTTGAACTCTGTGGACCTGAAGTTTACATAAGAGAGGTTCATAACAATAGCTTGTCACATCTAAAATCTAAATCTCTCTGAAAATCTAAATCACTCTGAAAATTGGCATTAAAATCATGTTTACATGGAACTATATCCATCTTCCTTCTTAGTGTAATCTCACAAATAAGCATGATGACCTTAACCAGAAGTATCACGGCAACTTCAAAGAGGGATATTTATGGATGATGATGATGGTGATGCTGTCATTAGAAGCACAAAGAGGTTATTTTAAGCTCTACAGTAGTATCTCTAAGATAAGTAACACGGTGTAAAACCAAGATACTTCACTTGTAAAACCAAGATACTTCACTTGTAAAACCAAGATACTTCACTTGTAAAACCAAGATACTTCACTTGTAAAACCAAGATACTTCACTTGTCAAGCAACAGATCCAGGGTCCGCTCCTTTGAGGACTAATACTGTGAGGGGGAGTTTGAGGAACTAACTAATGACGTGTTAGTTGTAAGATCTGGAATGTTCCGTAAACACCCTCTTACTTGACACCCTCCTAATTCCTAACCCCTCTTAAATTCCGCTCAATTACACGGCTGTCTAATTACATGCTTGTTGCCTGAATTTTCACGCCCTCCCTCCTTCTCTGACTCCATGCACCCCAGTATCAATATTACAAAAATAGAAACAATCCCCCGTCTAGCCTGGATCTCATAGCCTGTCACCTGACCATCACGTGACATGACGTCACTATAACAGAAACACTGTTCCTAGTGTCACGTGCTGTGGGTCACGTGTCCCAGCTGCACAAGCCGTCACATGCGGACCAGACGTTGTGCGTCCGTGAGCGCCTCATGTCTGGGGAAAAAGTTTTACTTTGGTAAGT